TTGTGAGGTAGGCTATGCTACAGGTGAGTAAATGGCCCAAGTGGGAATTTGAACCCGGGTCGCCTGGGTCCTAGTCCAACACTACCCCACACTGATTTTCCCCCTCCTTAATATGCTGTTTTTCTCAATGTATGCAGTCCTGGTAGGGAGTTTTTAACAAGGGGGAGCATTACAAAAATGCAACCGTCTTTTCGCTTTAAGAAGATCAAGAACTCTGTCAGCCCATCTTCCAACTCTTTCTACTTCACTTAAAGAGTGTCTCCCAGATTTAAAATGAGTGCCAAGCTGAACATTTCTCTGCTAATATTTTGGATTATTATTTTTTCCATCCAAGACCATTGAATAAGGCAAACTAGATAATCATCAGCGGTAATATATACTGCTTAATATGCAAAATCCCTAAGCGGTTTACATAAAACACTGCAAGATGATTTAAAAGATAAAAAATGTACCGTATTTTTCGCCCTATAGGACGCACTTTTTCCCCTCCAAAAATGAAGGGGAAATGTGTGTGCATCCTATGGGGCAAATGCAGGCTTTCGCTGAAGCCTGGAGAGCGAGAGGGGTCGGTGCGCACCGACCCCTCTCGCTCTCCAGGCTTCGCACAGCTCTCCGCAAGCCATGCTAGCCCGCACTGGGCTCCCGCGGCTTGCGGAGAGTTGCCTGCATGCTGAAGCCTGGGCGCGCTGAGCTCAGTGTGCCCAGACTTCGCACAGCTCTCCGCAAGGTGTGGGAGCCCGGCGCTGGGCTCCCGCAGCTTGCGGAGAGTTGCCTGTTCTGGGGTCAGGGGTCGGGGGAAGCTCGGGCTTCCCCCGCCCCAGCCCCAGCCCCGCACCTGGGGAAAAAATAATTTCCCCCCCTTTATTTCCCCCCTAAAAAACTAGGTGCGCCTTATGGGACAGTGCGTCCTATAGGGCGAAAAATACGGTATATACAACATTTAAAAACAAAAGCACAAAAGAAATACACCAGTTTAAACAGAGAAACCATAAAGAAAACATTCAGCTAGATGTCAGTGAATAATAAAACAGAACACTGTGATACTTGCTTACGGTAGTTAGATAGGAGGATTTTAGAGCTTGCCACTGTTTCTGCCTCAAGAACAGCTAATGGAAGAATATTTGACCATTGGCCATGTTGACTGGGGCATGCTAGCTGGAGTGCCTCAAATTCCCCATCCATGGTTTAAAATATACCTTCTGAATCTTCCATACCATATGTATATGTGCGTTGGAATAGCTGCCACTATCCTCCCCACACCCATTCGCCCAGGAACGATGCTGGGTATTTTAGAAGATGCAAAATGGTGGCCAGGCATTTGCATGGCCTTCCCATCATCCTTTGGGGGTGGGGAAGGGCAAGATTACAAAGTTAACCACCATCACATGACACAGATGCTGTTGTCACTTCTGGAGGCAGCAAAACAAAGGGGGGGCACCTTCCAGAGTATTTGCTATTGCTAATGGAGTCCCACACCCAGGAGAAACTGCTGCAAGAGTTTCTCCTTTACCTGGAGAAATCCCTCCCACCCTGATTTCACTGCCTACAAGTAGGGTGGAAATGGTCAACTGCGCCATTTACGCTGATGCAGAATTTCTGTTCGGCTAATTATCAGTAAGGCCGGTGTTACGTACGCAAGAACGCAACTCGATCACAGAAGTGGTAAGGAGCAGTTAAGGGGGAAACAAATGACTAAAGGTAAAAAAAGTAAAGGTAAAGGACCTCTGGACGGTTAAGTCCAGTCAAAGGTGACCATGGGCTTGCGGCGCTCATTTCGCTTTCAGGCCGAGGGAGCTGGCGTTTGTCCACAGAAAGCTTTCTGGGTCATGTGGCCAGCAGGACAAAACCGCTTCTGGTGCAATGGAACACCATGATGGAAACCAGAGCACACGGAAATGCCATTTACCTTCCTGCCACAGCGATACCTATTTATCTACTTGCACTGGCATGCTTTTGAACTGCTAGGTTGGCAGGAGCTGGGGCAGAGCAACGGGAGCTCACCCCGTCACAGAGATTCGAACCACTGACCTTCTGATCGGCAAGTCCAAGAGGCTCAGTGGATTAGACCACAGCGCTACCTGCGTCCTCTCTAATGAATGAAGGATAACATGAAAAGGGTACAAGGAGGGAGCTACAGAAATGCTTTTTAAAAGTGGGGCTAAGTGTTTCCAAGAACTGTGGTTGCAGTGGGGGACTTGGGGCTCTCAAATTTCAGCAGTGCCCTGTGTGGCACACCCTGCCTCTCACAATCCATTCTGCAGCATTCCATGTGGTGCTCTGCAGTGTGGTGCCAAGTCGCTGTATCCTAAAACCACCCCTGGTGGTTGGATGGAAAGATGGTAGAGCAATGAGTTGGCAGAAGGTGGTTGGGGAAGAGGATGGAACAGCCAAGGTGACACATTTTGCCTATAGAGAGCGTGTCCTTATGGAAAGCTCTCGATCCAGTAACACATTATTGAACAAGGTCTTGCTAACTGGGAAGTGACTGTGAGCCTCCGTATTTGAATCCCCAAGGGAAATTTCTCCTACAACACATGTCTCTTGAGAGAGAAAATATTCTGCTTGACACTCATGGGAAGTTTCCTTTTTCCTACTGGCTAGGATGCGTCCCAGAGCAGGACATGGCCCCAAATGTCCTCCATTCAATCCTCTAATACCTTTCCGTGTGAAGGGTGAAACAGATCCTTTTAAATTCTCAGAGGAGTTCCACTCAAATCAACACCACCCTGGGGAAATCCAAGAGGTTAAAGGATTACCTAGCTCAGGGCCAAGCAAGCAGCAGGCGGCCGCAGTGAAGCTGACTTTGTAACTTTGGTCACAGCCAGAGGTGCAGAAAAAAAGAATTCCCCTTAGGGATTGAGGGGTGGGGGGCAATTCAGCTCGGTTTTCATTTTAATGCAAAGCTACACTTCTGAAAATAATATGCAAACCGAACTGCAGCTACCCTTTGAAGTTTAGCAAATTGAGTTGATCCGTTTCCCAACCAAGAAAAAGTGCACAGAACTGTGCATATTGGGGAAGTGTGCATTGAAAAAATCATACATTGTTGAAAATCTACAAAACACACTACGTTGTGAAAAATTGCCAGATTCCTATGGAAAGCCCATAAGCCGAACCTGAGTGCAACAACACTCTCCCCACTTGTGATTCTCAGCAACTGAGAATATCAGGAGGAATCTTGAAATGCATCTGCTCAGAAATTTAATCACTTACCTTTTAGATCTTTTTGGCTTGTATGTTTGCTTGACCAGAACAGGATATGCATTGAACCTGTGTTCAGTGGAATGTATGAACAAGCCTAATTTCCCCTCAAAGAAGAAGTGTGCAACAGGTGCCCCAATTCTTCTCTGCTTTGAATTGAAATCTGAACCAGGGAATAATCTCCAGTTCTCCTCTCACCCACACAGCCCCCAAATCCTTTTATAAAATAGTTATGCTGCTGAACTTGCAGTGATGTGACTATTCAGAGGCATTTTGTCAGGTTACACAGATTGTAGTATGAGCCACAAAGTAACTAGTCACACACTTGAACGTCATCTGTTTTGTAATCTCCCTCCCTTCACTTACATTTTTTATTCCACAGCTCAAAGTGGCATACATGGTTCTCTCTGCCTCCTCATTTTATCCACAAAACAACCCTGTAAGGCAGGCTTAGACTGGCCCAGGATTGTTGGTTTCTGTTTATGCCACTGTGCTTGGAGTCACAAGACTCTGTTTTGCATACCAGACATTCCAGACTGTTGGAAGTCTCACGGAAGACAGGAGACGGATGTGATGTTACCGGTTTCCTGTTCCTTTGTTTTCTAGTTGCTCTCTGCCTTTCACAGAGAGAGCATATATATTTCTTTTCTGTCTGCGTAGTTAGAAATAAAAGCTAGCAATGTAGCTCAAACTTCTCGTCTCTTCTGCTGCTTTGATACTCTGCTGAATGGGGAATGTGCCTGGGGCCTTATCAAAGGCTCAGGTCGTTAATCATCGTCGGAGGAGATTCCGAAGGCTTGACCGGAGGAGTAGCTCGGTCGTAGCGGAGATTCCGACAAGGATAACCCAGCAAGCTTCATGGGTAAGTGGGGATTCGAAGCTCAGTCTGTGAGGACCTAGTCCAACACCCTAACCATTACACCACTGATCTAGCTATCCAGGAAGTGGGAGGAGCAACCTGACCTGAAATGCTTACTGTCTTTTTAAGAGCGACCCGGGAACCAGCACCACTCTGAACACAACATGCACTGTGGCAGAACAATCCCACCTGTGTAGATGAGGATAGGTTTCTCAAGTCAGCTGTTCGGACTCCGCATCTGAGCAATCCATCCCACTGGAGCAATTGCACAGTCAGCCCATGCTGCAATAATATCCATATGTATTGCAACAGTTTTGCACTGGGGATTTGAATTTAAAATTTACAGGAAAATGGAACTTTCTGCAGCTACACCGAGATGTGAAGCCGGCTGCATTCCCAATCATTCCCTTAAGGAAAACTAATGGTACTGAATTCTAAATTCCATGCTCAAGCAACGTTTGAAAAGATCAACCCCTAACCAAGTGAGCATCCCAGCACCATAACAAGCCATGCTTCTCTTTGCTGGCACATAGAAAGATGCCTGATACTGAGAAACACCATAATGGGGAATTTCCATAATGGGAAAGAACAGCTGCTTTGCATGTAGAATGTCCCAGGTTCAGTCGCCAGCATCTATCACTGAGTTGCAACCCTTCTCCTGATTTCCCCCCTCAAAATGAATTCAAACAGAGATTAAATGAATACGGGTGTGTGTGGTGTTATTTCAGTTCCATGCATCAGAACCAGAGTCGTCTTCTGGGTTCCACACCTTAAAACTGCAATATAGATTTTGGGATTCTGAGCGGAGGAACCCCTTTTCAGCATGATTCAAATCCACCCATTTGAGCTTCAGCTGATGCTCAGCACTGGGTGCATTTGTTGAAGGGTGTGTTTGCTTTCCCCCCCTTCCCAGCTCCAGGTTTGACCATGGGATCCTCACCCCATCCAAGACACAGGAAGCGTTTGCGGATGATGCGGTTTCGCAGCCTGCCCGTCACAGCCATGTAAGATTGCCAGGCTTCGGTCAGCACCCAGCAGAAGGAAGAGAGGAAGAAAAAGTGAAGGAAGGCGGCCACCAAGGTGCATATCACCTGGAAAAGTGTGAGAGAGAAATGACATGTGTAAGAAGAAGGAGGAGAAAGTCAAGGGCAACAGACAGCTGGACCATAAGAAGTAAAGCAGGGATCAGCAAACTTTTTCAGCAGTGGGCCGGTCCACTGTCCCTCAGACCTTGTCAGGGGCCGGACTATATTTTGAAAAATAAAATAAAAATGAACAAATTCCTGTGCCCCACAAATAACCCAGAGATGCATTTTAAATAAAAGCACACATTCTACTCAGGTAAAAACACCAGGCAGGCCCCACAAATAACCCAGAGATGCCTTCTCGGTAGTGGCGCCCTCCATGTGGAACGCCCTCCCACCATATGTCAAAGAGAACAACAACTACCAGACTTTTAGAAGACATCTGAAGGCAGCCCTGTTTAGGGAAGCTTTTAATGTTTGATTTATCACAGTATTTTAATATTCTTTTGGAAGCCGCCCAGAGTGGCTGGGGAAGCCCAGCCAGATGGGCGGGGGTATAAGTAATAAATTATTATTATTATTATTATTATTATTATTATTATTATTATTATTATTATTATTATTATTATTATGACACATTCTACTCATGTAAAAACACCAGGCAGGCCCCACAAATAACCCAGAGATGCATTTTAAATAAAAGGACACATTCTACTCATGTAAAAACAAGCTGATTCCCGGACCGTTCACGGGCTGGATTTAGAAGGCAATTGGGCCGGATCCGGCCCCAGGGCCTAAGTTTGCCTACCCATGAGGTAAAGGGACAGTATGCCACAATAACTTCTTAGGCCGAGTCTCTTGTTTATTTATTTTTTAAACACACACACACAAACCAAACAAGCCATTTTTATATAACAAAAAAAAAAAAAAAAAAACAGACAAAAACCACTATCTGACCCCCCTCCCAGTGTTTTAACGGGTTGCTTTTACGCTTGCTTTTAGATTTGTAAGCCGTTTTGAGCAACTCCTTCCTGGAGTGGAAATGTGGTGTGGAAGTTCTAAAAATAATACAAACTGGCAGCAGGAATGGCGAGTGTCGGCGGAGGGCTGGTGCCAAGCCATTATGAGCCGAGCCAAATCTCAGCGGAGGCTTGGCTCAGCTCGAAATGGCTGAGGGATTTCTGAACCGAGGAGTCTGAATTATGAATGCTCCCTTTCTGAACTTTGCTGCTGTCACTATCTAGGTTTCCCCGAGGGCTGCCAGCTGGCTCTGCCTGCATTAGAATATATAAAGATGAGGCCTATCGGAAGGAACTCTTACTTCGGACTTCGCAGACGAGTGATGATGAAAAGGAAGATGCTGATATACATTTTCTTACGCATATAGGAGAAAAAGAAGGGCAGGTAATTGCCTTCCACTCCCTGTTCCATTAGCTAAAATGGGATGTAAGGCTTTGGCATTGAGGAGGATAATTGTTAGAGACGCACACTCACTTTTGGACAAGTCAAAGGCAGCCCAGTCTATGCAAGAGCTGCTGGGATACCTGCCTAAAAGCCATCAAACACAGGTGAGTATTTGGTTTGAAACAGATTCATAGAACAGAATCATAGTGTTATGTTGCGGGTGAACATATCAGACGACACAGCTCTTGTTTATTCACAGGCCAGAACAGAACTGAACTGAAGGGTTCAGCCAGCCTGCTTATATAGAGCTCCACTACAATGCAACAGTAACCATTTTCTGTAACTATCCAATCACTGAATGTCACTTTCAATCCCTTATTTGCATATGTGGACCTGAGTGAAAACTATCTACAGTATCCCCCTGCTGGCCCAGGGTGAGAACTTCAGTACATAACACATAGAATCGTAGATTCTGGAAGGGATCCTGACGATCATCTAGTCCAACCCCCTGCAATGCAGGAATATGCAGCTCTCCCATACGGGGATCGAACCTGCAACCTTAGCATTATCAGCACCACGCTCTAACCAACTGAGCTATCCTATGGGTATCAATACCAAACCAGCTCCAATCCAAACATTCTGGCTTAGGCAGTGGCTGCAGCCATGACTCCTTCCCGGGATTCTAACCCATCGAGGCCCTTTCCCTTCTGCCTTCAGTAGCAAAACCTTTTCTTGTCCTTTGAAGCAGGCGGCGATGCTTGGCCAAGCGTGATTTAATAATCAAAAAGGCTGCCAAGCTACAGCGGAGAGAGAGAGAGAGAGAGATTGGCTAGGCGGGCGCCTTTCTTCTCCATCATCCCTTTTGTCTAATGTGACCAGGAGCAAAAATATGCATCTTTTAAATGTACTGCTTTCATCTTCAAAGGCTCTCATAAATGCAGAGAGGGGCACTATTCACTAGGGGTGCACACAGGTGGAAAATGTGTGTGTGTGTTTGTCAGGGGAGCAGGGACGCCATAAAGACACAGAGAAATGGAAGCTGGAACAACAACAAAAGCACTGCTAGCTGCTAAAGATGACTCTACACCAGTTAGAAGTTTTAATGGTGCGCTCTCTCTCTCTCTCTCTCTCTCTGACACACACACACACACACACACACACACACCACACACACCACACACCCGAATTAATCCAGAATGCAGCAGCTAGACTGGTGACTGGGAGTGGCTGCCAGTCCTGAGAGACCTGCATTGGCTCCCAGTACGTTTCCGAGCACAATTCAAAGTGTTGGTGCTGACCTTGAAAGCCCTAAACGGCCTCAGTTCCTGTATACCTGAAGGAGGGTCTCCACCCCCATTGTTCTGCCCGGACACTGAGGTCTAGTGCCGAGGGCCTTCTGGCGGTTCCCTCGCTGCGAGAAGTGAGGTTACAGGGAACCAGGCAGAGGGCCTTCTCAGTGGTGGCGCCCGCCCTGTGGAACGTCCTCCCACCAGATGTCAAAGAGAAAAACAACTACCAGACTTTTAGAAGACATCTGAAGGCAGCCCTCTTTAGGGAAGTTTTTATTGTTTGATGCTTTATTGTGTTTTTAATATTCTGTTTGGGGCCACCTAGAGTGGCTGGGGAAACTCAGCCAGATGGGCGGGGTATGAATATTATTATTATTATTATTATTATTATTATTATTATTATTATTAATAGGAAGCAGGAGCAATGTGAACTGTATTGAAGGAAGTGAGGAAGACTCTTTTCATTCCTCTCCTCTCCAGGTATCTTCATCTTACGGGGGGAAAAATCTCCCTACAAAAATCCATTGACGGAAATAAAAAAATGAAGCAACCCTTTTGCTTGATCACCTTCAATTACGTCTTTATCCTTCTGTCTCTACTTTAGTGCCACTTTCCCCAAATCAAGATGAGTCATTAATCTGATTGCTTTGATGAAGATCTGTTCGCTTGGGAGAAGCTGGTGGCAGATCTGCCCTACCAGCTATTTCTCACTTTTAGATCGATGGTGATTGACAGATTTCATCGAGAGCTGTCCATAATTTGAATGCCTTCAAAAGAAGTTGGCATATATGTCTGATACGGAGTTCAGAATATTTTATTTATTTATTCCACTCATATCCCGCCTTTTCTTCCAAGGAGCTTGAGGTGGTCACATGGGTCTCCCGCTCCTCATTTAATCCTCGCAACAACCACGTGAGGTGGGTTAGGCTGAGAGGGAGTGACAGGCTCAAGGTCACCCAGGGAGCTTCATGGTCGAGCAAGGATTTGAACCCTAGTATCCCAGTTCCAAGTCCAACACTCTAACCACTACCCAACATTGCCTCTTTGCTCAGCTTGTGCCTGGCTTTTCTTCCCTTGCAGCTGAGAATTTAAATCGACCCAATCTGCACATCACATTAAACCGTTGTTTAAAACAAACCATGGTTTAATGCTGATGTATTAAACTATACTTTGATGTGACCTGCAAACCTGGTTGTTGTTACTTCTGCTGTTATTTTGTTGGTCAATTTGCTCCTAATGTTTGTTGATGACACTGGAAAAGGGGTAGTCTTTCTGTCCGTAACTGACCTCTGGAACGTATAGCTACAAGAATGCTGAAGCAGTGAGCATTGATGGGCAGGATTCACCTAATGTGTCCTAGCAGCAGAAGCTCTAAACATGGAATTCTGCTCACACGATGGGACTTAACCGCTTCTCCTCCCACCACATGTCTCTCACTCTCTCCCAAAAAGTTGTTCTGCATGGATCAGGAGAACCCACAGAACAGCATCCGGGGGAGTATAAAGGGGATCATTCCATCTGGCAAGCTGAAACTGCCTTTGACTAATTAAATAATCTTTTTGGGGGGGTTACAGGTAGGTAGCCGTGTTGGTCTGCCGTAGTCGAAACAAAAAAAACCAAAAACATTCCAGTAGCACCTTAGAGACCAACTAAGTTTGTTATGGGTATGAGCTTTCGTGTGCATGTTCACTTCTATTGTTTTTGTTTGGCACAATGGTGTGTATTTTGTGTGTGTTTTTATATTGTAAACTGCCCTGTCGGCAGTTCATCGGATGAAGGGTGGTATAGAGACTGATTGAATGAATGAATAAATGAATGAATGAATGATGCTATCCACTTAGCGTGATGTTGAATTCCACCCAATGTCTCGTAAACGGGAGTAAAATATTTTGTGGAGGCAGATGGCTCCTAACCACAGTAGCCAAAACCAGCTACTTCCATGTGCAGTAACTGACTGCTAAATTATTTTAAACACAGTGTCCTTTCTAGGCTCCCAAGTTGCAGTTTGGCCATGCACAGATAGGATGGGGATGTTGCGTCCTACAGAGCAGGGCCAGGACCAGAAAAGCCTGATAGTCCTGTCAAGGCTAGTGGTAGTCCAAATTTGGTAGTCCAGTTCAGGTTGGTGCTGCCAGATCCAGCATACATCTCCTCCTCCTCAGTTGCCCAACTGCCCTGCTTTTTGACAGCCTTAGAATATTTGGGTTGGGCCCGATCCAACTTGGGGAGATTTGGGGCTACCTCAACATATTTCAGCCAAATCCCTCATGGGCCCAAATGGGCCCAGTTCAGTTTGAAATCCAGGCACAGCACAGCCCTGATATTCACCACCAACTCCATTCTTGCAGACACTCCCCAGGCCTTGAATCTGCATCAACTTAAGGACTGCTTTGCAATATCATTTTTCTCTTCTTCTTCTCTTGTCTGTGTGTCCACGATAGCTATTGTTCAAAGGTATGCCGTTGAAGTACATGGAGATTCGATTGAGCTCTAATGGCTCATAGACCTTCTCCAAATTTCTCCAAAACGTGCTTAAAAGCCATTCAAAAGCTTCCACAACATTTGGAATACGCTCCCTCCTATTTACCTACCTAGGCAATGTGTGTGGGTTAGGGTTTCTTAATTAAGGTCAGCAACTGGCTCCAGGCTTGGTGTATGAAAGGGGTGCTATGGAAGAGCAGAACATTTATTAAGTGGAACATTCTCCTCTGCCTCCCTTTGGTCAATCTGTCTTTTTGAATTTGAGAGATAGAAACCACTGAACCTCGCAAACTGGTCCTGTTCTTGCAGGAAAGTGCCAAGGGGACTGGGGCGGTGGGAGTCAGAGAGAGCTAACTCTAGGCAGAAACTCAAAATACATCACAGCTGAAGTCTTTCTCCTTATTCTTCTTAGAAACAGTAAAGATGCTCCCCGGATTCTCAAAGGTGATACATGCGTAATTTTACCATTCAGTGGTACATTCAGAGAACGAAATAATGAGCCGAAGGAAAGCAAATGAATGTCTCTCCCTGGGAGTTCAGCTATCGTAACAGCAGCAACAACAAAAAACCTGGGCAAATTCCTACCTTATTCCGGGTCTGGGTTTGCCCAATCAGGATGAGAGCGTTGGAAGATATGATGGAGAGGCAGAAGTTGATAAGGATGACGGAACGTTCAGAACGGATGTACCTACAAAAGACGAAGAAAAAGGTAGACGGAAGGACAGAGCCTTAGATCCATGATCTGCAAATTGTCAAAAGGCTGGTCATGGGAATGGGGAAATCTGCCAAATTCAATTTCACTCAATGCCCCACTTTTTCTGATCTTAAATTCTCCACACTTTTTTGAAAAAGAACCTCATGAAAATCCTTCTAGTGAGAACTTCTCCTTGTGCACATTTTGTACGCAGCTCTACATGGTATACACTTTCTTGCAAAGCTGTTTCCCCTAATGAAATGTGGTTTAATGCACACTGTGCCCTACCTAGTACATGCATCTCTGCACACATTACTAGGCTGGAACACTGCACTACAAAATTTGGAGAAATACGAATTTTGAAAGAAGCCTGTGTTTCAGTCTGCATATCCTATTGGAAAGTGGAAATGAGGTTGTTATACCTTTAGACGATGAACTGAATTGAATTCCCCTGCACCATCTCTGGCTGTGACCCTCATGGGATCTGTTAGCTTACAGACCCAATTCAAGGTGCCGCTGTGGATTAAACCACAGAGTTTAGGGCTTGCCGATCAGATGGTTGGCATTTTGAATCCCCGTGATGGGGTGAGCTCCCGTTCCTCGGTCCCAGCTCCTGCCAACCTAGCAGTTGAAAGCACGTCAAAGTGCAAGTAGATAAATAGGTACCACTCCAGTGGGAAGGTAAATGGCATTTCCGTGCGCTGCTCTGGTTCGCCAGAAGCGGCTTAGTCATGCTGGCCACATGACCCGGAAGCTGTACGCCGGTTCCCTCAGCCAATAAAGCGAGATGAGCGCCACAACTCCAGAGTCGTCGGCGGCTGGACCTAATGGTCAGGGGTCCCTTTACCTTTAACTTAAGCAAGGACCATCTCCTTCCTTACAGACACACCCAGAGATTAAGATAGGCAGAGGGTGTCTTCTTGGTAGCTTTGCTGCCTTCCATAGCATTGTGGCTGGCAGTTTAGGGGAGAGTTCTCTCTGAGGCAGCTCCCAAAATATGGAATGCACCTACAGCGAGGAGGCAAGGTGGCACGTTCCTGTTTTGCCTCAAGCAGCGAAGTGGGAGGTGCCACAATATAGAGGACCTCATCTTGGTTTCAAGGCACAATGCTGGGTGATTTTCAGTTCCTTTCAAGCCCCACATTTCTGTTTGTTCTGTCCTACTAAGGGTTGGCAGCTGGTGGACCTCGGGCCAAATCCGGCTACAGGAAAGCAGCCAGCTGGTCTACCAACTCAAGGAAGTTGTTCCTGATACTGGCTTGAGTTGACAGCTGCCGCCGCCGCCACCACCACAAAATTACAGCCAGTGTAATTTCAGCAGGACTTCAGGGAGGAGAGGGAATGGAAACTGCACAGTTGTGCCATGTTGTGCTTTTGGGGGCAAACACACAGAGGGAGCTGCCACAGCACAGGAAGGCTGGGGCAAACTGACTCCTTCTCCCGCTGTAACCCCATAACGTTACTTGTAATATATAGTGTCAAGCCAGCTAAAATGGCATTATATGCAAAATCTTGTGTTTAGATTAGCTTTCTGCAGTGTGAATGTGCATGTGAATGACTTTTATGATTGTGGGTTGTATTCAATGCTCTGTGGGCACAGTTCTGCAGGTGCAATGGGACTTCAGTTTCCTCTCCTCTCCCTACACTTCCTTAACCCTCCAGAACTGATTCCTTGGGTGCACAGGAAGCTGGAGAGGGCCAGATAACAGGAAGAGGAAGCTCCATTTACACATGAAACCCATTGCACCAGCAGAGCTCCAGAACTGGATAGAGCCCAACCTTATTATTATGTGCATCAATGACATGTTGCTTGCAAAACAACAACAAACTAACAAACAGTCTGGAGGGGCCCATAAATGGAAGCAAATTATCTATATTTTGCTATACAGTGGTACCTCTGGATACGAACGGGATCCTTTCTGGAGCCCCGTTTGCATCCTGAAGTAAATGCAACCCGCGTCTGCGCGTGTATGGGTCGCGATTCGCCGCTTCCGCGAATGCGCTTGATGTCATTTTGAACGTCTGCGCATGCGCAAGCGGTGAAACCCGGAAGTAACGCCTTCCACGGAGCGCAACCCAAAAGCGCTCAACCTGAAGCAACTTCAACCCGAGGTATGACTGTACTGAAAAAAAGGACTTTTGTAAGTTATAATAGACAGCGATTAAGTGGCTACCCAGAGTGGCTGGGGAAACCCAGCCAGATGGGTGGGTGAGGTCTTCTTCTTCTCCTCCTCCTCCTCCTCCTCCTCCTCCTCCTCCTCCTCCAGTGCATAGTTAAATTATGGAACTCATTCCCACAGGAGGCAGTGAAGACCACCAACCTTTTAAAAAATATTAGACAAATTCATGGAGAGGGCTATCAATGGCTACCGGGCACGATGGCTCTGCTCTGGCTCCACAGCTGGAGTCAGCAACACTTCTGAATTCCAGATGTTGGAAACCATGCGAGGGGACAGAATCCTGCTTGCTGGTTGGCGACTGTGAGAATAGGATGCTGGACCAGTGGGCCACTGGCCTAATCCAGCAGGGACTTTTTATGTTACTGGGTTTCAGCTCGGCTTGCTGGGTCACATGTGATTCACCATTCCAAATGAAACCATTATCCTACCTAGATGTATAAGGGATCTAGACACATGAATGTGCGCGCGCACATATGCACACACACAGAGAGAGGAATCCACTCCCCATCCCCCACCCCAAAGATCCTTGCCTCTCTGCTGCCTCTCTGCTATTTGTCACTGCTGGAAGCATGTCCGCGGTCCCCTGGGTCTGGACATAGATCAATCCGAAGAAACGGTGTCAGCGGGTTAAGCTTCCCGCTGGCTGTAAGCCTAGAGGAGGCTGCAAAGTGGCAAAGGCTGCAAAACCTCGGATTATTAAAACGTGAGATTGTAGCTCAGCCAGCCAGCGGCCAGTTGCAACTAGGATCCAGGGCAGTCACAGATGCGTGCTGCTCTGAGCTGGAAGCCCTCGGAAATATTGGCTGCGGAACTGAAGAAGGGGCGAAAAAAAGCCCCACTCTTGGTTCACTGTGTTCCTCTTCTGTTTGCTTCATGGAATAATAAGCTGTCCTTGGTCCACGTGGCTCAGAAATGCCTACTCTGCCTGGCAGTGGACGTGCCCTGGAGATGCCAGCGATAGAACCTTGGACCTTTGATGCGCAAAGCAGAGGCTCTACCACTGAGCTATGCCTCTTCCCAATGGCAATGATGCTTTACCCAGGAGTAAGGGCAGGGGGGCTTCCATCTATGGCTGTTGGTTCCATCTATGGCTCTGCAATTCTTTCTTGGAGGACACCAGCCACTAAGAGGAGACCTGTTTGCACCTGCATATTTGTCTCCCAGATTTAATGAAATTCCCCCGCAATTTTGGAAAGATGGAAGCAGATGTGGGAGACCACTCCAACTCTCAACCATAAAAACCTTTTCTATTCCCCATTCTAGCTCCCCAACTCTATTGTATTGTCTTATTGTGTGTATGTGTGGTGGCAAACCCACGTTTGACAGTGTAAAATGAGCATGGGAATATCAGAAGAGCCCTGCTGGGTCAGGCCAAAGACCCATCTAGTCCAACATTCTGTTCTCACAGTGGCCGACCAGACTGGGAAGTCCACAAGCAGGACGAGACCGCAACAGCTCTCTCCTAGTTGTGATTCCCAGAAGCTGCTATAAAGAGGAATACGGTGATTGATGGTGGAGGTAGAACACCGTTATCATGCCTAGAAACCAATGATAGCATTATTCTCCACCTGTGCTGGGCCCGGGGGTAACCTGAGTAATGTGGTCCAGGTCCGATCCCGAATCCCAGGGTTCCATGAGGAGTTAGTCCAACAGGGCCAAGGCAGGACAAGAGGCAGGAAACCAGGCGAGATCAGGCACATGATCTCAGACAGGTTCTGGCAAACAGCAATGTTGCTCCCGCAACCTGGGGTGGGGTCCAACAGCCTTTTATCTCTGTCAGGGTAACGTCCGGTCCTGATCCCCCAATGACTCACCTCCCTGTCCCTGTCCCTGTCCCACTCCTCCTGCAAGTACTCAGGTCTCTCCTTCTCTCAGACCTCAGTCTCTGCAGCTCAGGAGACGTTGGCTGGTTACTAGATCCAGAGGCCACCTCAGCCTCTCCTGACCCAACTGGTAGTGGAGCAACTGTAAGTGATGTCCCAGCTGAAGGCAACGAGGTAATTTCCGCATCTGGAGCCAGGGCAGGCTCAGGCCCCTAACTCAGCCCAGCTTGTGTTTGCTGCAGGGGAACCTGTGCAGACTGGGACTCTTCAGGATCAGACTTGGTTCAGATGCTGCCTGAGGCAAAGGATCCGGTGTGGACGGAGACTCCTCTGGCTCTGAGTCCGAGCCTGAGTCCCAGACCATCATACCACCAGATGGATGGTCCCAGATCCACAATGTCCTTCCCCATGGATAGCCTTAGCTTTAGATGATTTCTATCTGAATGTAAGAGCACTACAGTAGTGCCTCGCAAGATGAAAATAATCCGTTCCGCGAGTCTCTTCGTCTAGCGGTTTTTTCGTCTTGCGAAGCAACCCTATTAGCGGCTTAGCGGATTAGCGCGTTTAGCGGCTTAGCGGCTATTAAAGGCTTAGCGGCTTAGCAGCTAAAAGGCTATTAGCGGCTTAGAAAAAAGGGGGGAGCGAAAAAAATCGCAAGACTCGCAAGACGTCTTGCGGAAAACCCTTTTGTCTAGCGGGTTTTCCGTCTTGCGAGGCATTCGTCTTGCGGGGCACCACTGTACTAGATCAGGACAATGGCCCATCTACTCCAGCAAACTGTTCTCATGGTGGTCAACCAATGGAAGACCACACACAGAATCTGAGTACAACAGCACTCTTCCTATCTGTGGTTCCAACCCTACGGCCTCCAACAGTGGATTGGGGTGGTGGCGCATAGCCTCCATGAATTTGTCCAATCCTCTTGTAAAGCCATCCCAATTTGGAGGCATTCACTAAATGGATAAAAATAAAGTCATGGGCTAGTGGGCAAGAGAAAAATGATTAAGCAACTCTTTCTGACATTCCTCCACCCAGTGCTGCTTCTTGGTAAACAGATGTGGTGATGTTTGGGAACTCTTCGGAAAGTTGTTATCAGAAGTGATGAGAGTTGGAGTTCAGTAACATCTGGAGGGCCTCAGGTTCCCTCACCCCTACTTTAGTTTTATTCAGAACACGATCACTATTAAAGCTTTATTGCCAACCATGGGCCTGATCCATTCGGTGCTGGGAGTTCATAGGGAATCCTAAGCTACACACACCTGCACTACAACTGAGGCAGAGCCCTAGGCAACACACTGCACAAGTGGTTTTGCAATCTCGGACAATCCAGTCATTCAAACCTGGACAATTAGCTGATCATTAGAGCTGAATAAATAAATAAAAGAATATGTATATCTGTATGGTGTTGTTTTTTAACCCCCCCCCCCTTTTTGGTGAAGTATAAATTGGCACTTTAGTTAAGGCTAGGGAAATTTCTCAGGGAGGTTACAAACACACCTACAATTGTCTCATGATGCACAGTAGACCTCATGACTACCAAATGCCTTCTTATCTCTCCCAGTAATTAAGAGAATGCATAAATGAATTGCCGCAGAGCATTAGAGTGTGCTGTAGACATCGCTAGGAATGACGAAAAGTAACTATAGATTTATGGTTTCAGACAGAGATACAAATATGCAAATGAGAATACGTATTTATGAATGGAGGAGAGTGAAACCTTTACCTCCAGACTGAGATGTATATGATTATCAAAAGCAAGAGAGTCAAGGAAGACACTCCACAGCCTACGATTAACGTGACCGAAGGGACGAGCACTTTTTCTGTGTTCTGAAAGAGAGGAAATAAAAACCATGAGTATACTTGAAAGAGCAGGTGACCTACATTCTGCAAGATATTTCCTGGTGATGATGTGGTAATAATAATTCAACACACGAGATTTCTGACCTGGATATTGTAATTCTGATTCTGCAGACATTAATCCCAAACTCTCCTTCTGTTTGATTCTGTCTGATTTACCTTCTTTCAGGGAGGGGGGAAAAGCTATTTTGTGGTCAGCATGCACAAAGTTAGTCAGAAGGGGTAGTAGCTGGATGCAGAAACTCACGGGCAAACCTAGTTGAAAAACAATCACACATCCAAATGAAATCAGTGGTAGGTCTGCTTTGAGGAGTTCATTGCCTACCAAGGGTTTCTGGAAGAAAGGATATTCTACATACTCCTTGGAGATTCTACAAACATATGGGTGATAGGAAAGCTGGAAATCCCATAGACATAAAATGATAGGCTCCACACACTCCTAGAATTCTTTATTCAGAAATTCACCGATCATTCTTTTGAGAAGAGTTGAAGTGGCCAGAGAGAGACCTTTTAGATAACTGCATCATTCTAGTTCACAGAAGAACTCCAACTTAAACCAAGGGGAAAAATCAACACGTTTGTAATGGGCTACACAATGTCAGGATGATTTCTATGCATGCAGCAGCCATCATGGATGTGACAGAGCTTTAACATCCAATGTGACTCAGTTAGTGGAGTCTATCCACCTATTCAGCTGCAAGTCACTGAGCAATAACTGTGCAAACGATGCATGTGGAAATCATGGAATCACAGAGGTGGAAGGACCTCAAAAGTCTATGAGTCAAATTCACCTGCCAATGCAGGAAGTCAACTGAAAGGTGGACAACCAGCCGTGCTTAAAAACGTCAATGAGGGAGCAGAAGCAAAGCTAGGCATTACTGAGCACCCGCCAAGGCCCATTTATTTGTTTAGTTGCATTTATACCCCTCCTTTTTCTCCAAGGAGCTCGAGGTGAGGAACAGAGTTCTTGTTCCTCCTCATTTAATCCCCACAACAATAACCCTGTGAGAGAGGTTAGGGAGAATGGCAGATGAAGGTGATGGACTATATGGAACTGGCGGAAATGACTGGCAGAATCCGAGACCAGGGAGAAGAGTCGGTGGAAGAAGATTGGAAAAATTTTAAAGTCTACTTACAGAAATACTGTAAAATTAATGAATGTTAGAATGATGTTGGATAAGAAGTTAAGTGGTTTTTAGCTGTAATGCTATAAAGGAATATGAAAAAATGGATTATTAACAGGTAAAAATTTAATGTTATAATACTTTAAGATTAAAGACTAGGACAAACAAAGAGGGAAAGGATTTGCTGAACTAAACTGGAATACAAAAAAGGGAGGTGTGAGGAGGTCCGGGAAACAAGCAAATGAAAGATAAGTAATGGAAAGATGGAATTGTTTTTAACTTTTTTTTTTGTATTTTTTTTTTCATTTTGTAATATTTTGAAAATCTTAATAAATATCTTTTAAAAAAAGAGAGAGAGAGAGCAGAGAGGCAGACCTGGCCCAAGAGAGGCAGAGAGGCAGACCTGGCCCAAGGTCACCCAGCGGCCAAGTGTGTGTGGGGGTGAACCCTGGTTTCTCAGGTCCTAGTTCAACACTAACCACTATTATTATTATTTTTAAAGTGGGTAGTTCTTTTTTAAATAATTTTTTCTTAGAGATTTAAACAAAACATATCAAAAAAATCACACCCTTAATTTTCCCCATTTTTCTCCTTCCCTCCACCCTCCCATAAAGGACCTCCCCTGACTCCCCTCAGTTCCAATCTTTGGTTTCTCTGTGAATACTGTTCTCTGCATGCTACAAAATTGTATAAATCCTTAAATTGTCTAAGTGATTATTGTCAATAAAGAGTTTGTGAGTGTTTATTCAAAACCTGCCAAGGAGTCCAATTCACTTTGTTGTGTCATCAAGTACTTTGCAAAGGGTTCCCATTCATCTTTGAAGTCACAGTTGTCTGTGTCCCATAGCTTATGTGTCAATTTTGCCAGTTCTGCATAATCCATCAATTTCTCTTGCCATGATTCTTTAGTTGGAATTTCTTCATTCTTCCAACATTGTGCTATTAAAACTCTTGTGGCTGTTGAATATATTTTTCAGCTGTTTGGCAGGTCTTTTCCTACAATCCCTAACAAAAATGCTTCAGGTTTTTTTAAATAAATGTTAGATGGAACATTTTCTTCAATTCATTGTATATCCTTTCCCAACATTTTTTGATTACATTACAATCCCACCACATATGATAAAATGTCCCCTCCTTCCAACATATATTTGAACTAGTTTTGTACATTTTCCCTAACTGCACTGGTGTCAAATGCCACCTATACGTCAACTTCATATAATTCTCCTTCAACAGGGAACAATCTGTAAATTTTAAATGAGTTTTCCATAACTTTTCCCAATCTTCCATCACAATGTTGTGACCTACATCTTGTGCCCATTTAATCATAACTGATTTTACCTCTTCATCTTTCGTCTCCCATTCTAATAGTATGCTGTATGCGGCCCAATGTAATTTCCAACACTAACCACTAGACCGCACTGGCTTCCCTGCAGGGACGGCGCTTCCCCTTCTCTTGGCTGCATCCGCCTGCTGCCTCCAAGCACCCAAGCCATGGCTAGAGTGAGGAAAGGCAGCAACATCTGCCTCATGTTCTCCATCAGAGGCTGGATTGGACCCAGAGGAAGGAAGAGGGGAAGTGACTGGCATGTTCAAGTCTTTTTCAAACTTTTTATCAGAACCTCAAATTGAAGATGCGTTCAGAAAACGTGTACTGGGTTTCCAGGAAGATTTCCCACCCGGCAATGTGAAAACTGAGCAGTGCAACCTTTCGCTCTTCTCCCAGCCAGGAAAAAAGAAGAGAAGAGAAAAATGCATTCCGTGGGTATAACAAAGCAAACTCGCTCACAGCTGTGCCTCCCTGACCAGCTTAAACAACCAGCTTAAACAAGGCTTATGATATGAGACTTAAGGAGCTAAACTCTTAAGACTTAAGCTTAGGAGGCTGAGGGGTGACGTGATTGTGGTGCAGATTCATGGCATGTGGAAAAGCTGTGACACGGAGAGAACGCTCTGGCCTTCACAAAACTCAAAGGGGGCTGGAGCAATCTGTGGTTTTCTCCCCCCCCCCCCCATTTATTGAAATACATAGATGACATACACAATGTGCCAAGATGAAAACAATCATAAATCTTAATATGTTTACAAAAAATAGATTTAAATTAAATTTATACAATCTCTTTTTTCCCTATCTTTTTTTGCTAACATAGAATAGACTTCCTATCATTTCCCAATGCATATAACCTTTCTGGTGATGAATGTACTTATCACTATTCCCTTATTCTTTCTGTATTTTCTAATACCTTCTTACAACAATTTGTACCTTTTTACTTGTTTCTTAACAGTTCGTTTAGACAAAGGTCATTCAGACGCTGCCGTTGACATTGTACCACTATTATTATTCTGTAGATATCCCTTGTTCACATCCCATTTTTGAATAAATGATTGTCTTGCATTACCTCTTAGTCCGTTAGTCAATTGCGCCATTTCTGCATGTTCCAGTAATTTGCACTGCCGCTCTGATATGGAACTGGAAAGGGGGAAAAGTTCCAACCATATCAGAGCAGGGCTGGAACAATCTGGGTTAACTAACCTGTGACACTCCAACTCATCATAACTGACTATTGGTCATGCTGGTTGTGGCTGATGAGAGTGTATGGGTGTGCACTTTTTTTTGGGGGGGGGGATGAAATGAAATTGACAGAGAATGGGTCCCAGCATGGTGTGGCTTCCTCTCTCGTGCTCAGGAGGACCAGCCACTGTACTGCACCATGGCCAGCTCTGTGCCTAACCTCCCTTGTGTGGCGATCACACAGGGTCCCCGGACATTTCACCGTCTATTGATCCCTGTGCCCCCACTTGATTTCTCACTGCCACCACCCAGGCCCTACCTGGTACAATACTGAGTCCAGTCAGGGTTCAATTGAAACATAAACCTTTGTTAATTTATCACAGTTTAACAAGCGTGTGGTTTCATAAACAGTACCAGTCAATTACATTCATGGGGTGCCTATCCAGACCTATAATTTTCACTACCTGCTCTCACTCACTAAACCACCTCTCAGATATTTACTTGTCTGACTAGCCCCTAACTGTTCCTGACTCAGCCTATTTCGTTACACTAACTCAACCTACCCACAACTCTAGCCCAATTCACTCCCACTCCAACCAACCACCCAACTCCCGACGAACTCCTCAATGAACTCCCACCGAACACCTCCCAGAGCTTGGGTTTTAATTGGTTAACCTTTTTAACTATTTCACCTCCAGCACTCTCATGTTAATGTCACACCTTGCCCCCTAAACACTGAGGGGGTCTGGCCCCCTGCCAGCTGATATTGGGGGCCAAATACACCTCCACCCCTAGGAGTTGGCACACCTGTTCTCCAGTTTCCTGATTTACTTCTCGGTCCCATCACCGCCAACTTACAACTCTTCGTCTGTCGAAGTTCCAGCTAGTTAACTCACACAGATCCACTTTCCTTTGTTCCCGTTAATGGCTCATCACCCAGCCTATCGCCTCAACAGAGAAAGCTGGCCTGTATCTTAACACTCGCTGGATCCAAGGGTTCAAAAGGTCTATGCATACAGACTACTTCTCCCTCCTCATCTCAGACTCAGTTGTTTTGATCAAGAACATAAGAAGAGCCCCCTGGATCAGGCCAATGACCCACCTAGCTCAGCATCCTGTTCTCACAGTAGCTACCCGGATGCCCCTGTGATAAGAATTTTAAGGTCTTAGATGTATAATAAATGTTCATAATGTTACGATATAGAAGCAATGCAGCTGCAAACTGCTAGCTTGAAAGCAAAACATAATGGGAATGTTGGGACTGTCCGTGGGAAACAGAGGGACAGTCTATTCACAGTGCGAAGCACCGGAATTAGCTCAGAGTGTAATATGAGCTG